GGAGAATAATACAATTAGATAAAGAAAAAGATCCAATCAGTGATTTCAAAGATAAGGTAGCAGAAAACACTCAATCAGATCAGCAACAAGAAAAAAGAATCCAAAAAAGGAGGACAGTTTAAGGGGCCTCTGGGACAACATCAAGTACTGATATTCATATGATAGGGGTACTAAAAAGAGAAGAGAGGAAACAAAGAATTGAAAATCTATTTCAAGAAATAATAATGGAAAACTTCCCTAAACTGGTGAAGGAAATGGACATAAAACCCCAGGAAGCTCAGAGAATTCCAAAACTCAGGAATCCAAAGAGGCCCACACCAAGAAGCATCATAATTAAAATGCTACAGGTTAAATACAAAAAAAGAATATTAAAAGCAGCAAGAGAAAAACAGATAATTACTTATAAGGGAACACCCATAAGACTGGCAGCTGATTTCTCAAAAGAAACTATATAGGACGGAAGTGCTCGGCAAAAAATATTTAACAGGATGAAGACCAAGGATCTACAACCAAGGATTCTTTATTCAGCAAAGCTATCATTTAGAGTTGAAGGACAGATAAAGAGCTTCCCAGACAAAAATAAGCAAAAGGAATTTATCACCACCGAGCCAGTACTCCAGGAAATGGTGGGGGGACTTCCTTAAGAAGAAAAAATATAAGACTCACTTCAGATTAAAAGACACATATAGACTAAAAGGAAGGGGATAGAAAAAGATATTGTTTTGATGGACCTAGACGGTATTTAAGACAGAGAAAAAGAAACGCTATATGATTTCACTTATATGTGGAATCCAAGGAATAAAAAGAACAAACTAATCAAAAACAGACTCACAAAGATAGTGGTCAATTTGGTGACAGACAGAGGGGAGAGGGATTTGGGGGGCTGGGAGAATGGAGTGAAGGGTTAAAGAAGTACAAATTAGTAGCTGATGGATGGTCACAGGGATGGGGAGCATGGCAAAGGGAATGTAGTTAGCATTAATATGATGGCTAGGTGGAAGGTCAGGAGAGGGAGAGAGCAATTGGGGGGATAGTTTTGATAAACTATATAGATAGATGTCTAACCAATGTACTGTATACTTGAAACTAATTAAAATTTTAAAAAATGAAAAAAATTAAAACAAAATTTCTAAGGGTACAGAAACTTTACACAAAATCAACCACTTCTATGATAAAAAAAATTTCTTAAGGTTTTGAAGGCCTACCTGCAGATCTTTCACATTTGGGAAAGGAATTCCTATAGTTATAACAGCACGGGCATTGTCATCTGAGAAATCCAGACCCTCACTCACTTTACCACGACAAACTGCTACCAGGAGGGCTCCATCTTAAGCAACAAAAATAAACATTTTTAAAAACACACTCAAATTTCCAAAAATTGACTATTCTTGTCATTTCTAAAAGGTATGAAATTTAAGTGATCATAGTAGCAAACTTAAACGAATCAAAATGAAAAACTATTATGAGATAAAGTTTAAAAAGATCAATGTTTTTAAATAAACAAGGAAAACAAAATTACATTTAGGTGCAATATGGTAGCAAAGCAATTTACCAACTGTATATCTTCCAGAAACTTACACATAAAACCACATCCAAGTAGTAACTTGCACATAAACTAAGTAATTGTGACCCAACTGTTTTATCTCTAAAAATTTGAAATTGCAATCATTATCATTACATCAGTATTTAAAAGTTCTTGGAATGATTTAAATAACTCTTAATTTGTACCATACACCATACTGAATCAGTATTATATTAAAAAGTATGTAAAACACACATAGAATATTCTTATCATACAAGCACATTGACAATTATGGTATAGTATCTTATGATCTTGCATTGTTCATAAATTATCACTATTAGCCCTTCCCATCAACCTCTTTATGGACATTCTCTAACTTTGATATTGAGTCTTTAGTTGTGTTTTGAAAATTCAAGTTTACCTTAGATAACAGAGTATAAGCACAAAGTATATTATTTGCATCAAAATGTAGGGCTCATTGAGCTATTAAGGAAGATTTTTATGCATGCTCTGCCTTCTCTCATGTAGGGAAGACTATGGAATAATACCTGAATGCATGTTGTTTCACTTGGTATCATTGTGAAAACATTCATAGGAGAAAAATACCAAATAAATAAAATATTTATCTAATTTATTTTCTTTTTACTCAAGAGTATAAAATATAATTTTTTCTCAAGTGCAATTCATTTAAAAAGATAACACAAAAATTTAACAGCACCAACTTCTTACTTTATAGTAAAAAAAGGTTTTTCATCAACCATCCAATACTTTCCAATTACCTTTTCCTCCTTTGTACTTGATCGCATCATAGTACACCTGCAGTAATTCATCAAAATTAGTTTTTTCTCCTCTCTGTGGTTCTATAATGACTGTCTTCACCAACTCCAGATCACGCCACAAACCAGTGTCAAGCCAACGTTCTTTTAACTTTTCTAATAACTAAAAAAAGTAAGAAAAAAATGAATCATTGTGTCTTCAACTGAACAAACTTAACTTGGTTTTTTTAAAGACAGTGTGGCTATATGTGACTATGGCAAGCATATTAACGACTGTGTTTTACTTTTCTTGTCTATAAAATGAGGAAAACAATAACATATCATAGAATTGTTATTGGGTTAAATTCATTACCCTAAGCTTTCGATAGCTTTGAACAATGCCTGGCACATACTAAGAGCACCATAAATGTTAGCTGCTGCTGCTACTGTTACCATTACAATTACTAATAATACTACTGCTGCAGCTGCTGTTCCTATTTCTATTATTGCTATCTCGAGAATTTCAAAACTAGAAAAAAAATGACTTCTGTCATAGTTGACAAAATTTCTCTCCTTAAACTTAAGGTGAAATTCCTTAATATCTTTAACTAAAAATTCTTTAAATGAAGATTCTTTAAAATCATTTTACCTGATCCATAGACAGCTAAGCTGTTTGAAAATTTGATCATATTTAAAAAACGGAATTGAGTAAACGTATAAACAGAGACTCAGGTAGCCAACAAGCAGAAAATATACAGACGTAAATAGAATATTTACAAAAATAACCATGTGCTAAATTACAAAAGGACTTCCAACAAATTTCAAAGAATCTTTATCAGATTAACCACATATTCTAACAACAATGCAACTTTGAATAAAAGTCAGTAATACAAAGTGAGTGTGTAACAAGCAAACATACAAGCCCAACATTTAAGGTTATATTCTTAAAGAACATCTGGGTTATTTGTTAATTATATCTCAATAAAGCTGGTGGGGGTCGGGGGGAGAAAAAAATAACAAAAAAAGAAGGTATGGTTTAGAGAGGAAAATACAGAATTCATAAAGTCTTTAGATATAAATGATAAGAAAAGCACTCACAATTGCAAACATGTAGGGTGTGGTAGAGGCAATACTTAGAAACAAATTGATAGCTTGAAATGTATTTATTTAAAAAATTTGAAACCAACTGAATTAAGCATTCTTTTTAAAAAGCTAAAAAATTAAAACAATAAACGCAAAAAATGGTAGAAGTTAACAATAAACATAACTAAAATAAATGAGAGACAAAAGAGCCATTAGTAGAGATTATTATGATGTAAGCTGAACTGTTTTACTCATTTGTTTTATGTAGAGTTCTATGCAACGTGGACCAGTTATAATGTTGGCCAAGCACCAAGAAATTATCCCAATTTCTCTAGAGAACAGAAACTAATTTTTATAAAACAGTTTATTTCCTCAGAACTTTATCCTCATCTATTTTCAGAAATAAATAATATATAATAATACAAGTGTTCTTATAAGAGAGCCCACAGAGCATCATTGCTCCTTCCACCAGGTGAGAACACAGCAACAAAGTGCTAGCTACTGATCAGGAAAAGGGCCCTCACCCAACTATGCTGACACACTGATCTGAGGGCCCTCACCCAACTATGCTGACACACTTCCAGCCTCCAAAGCTGTGAGAAATAAATTATTGTTGTTTACAAGCTACCACATCTGTGGTATTTTGTTACAGAAGCCAGAATGAACTAAAAAAAAAAATCGTTAATTGGTAAAATAGTTCATTGATATTACACCATGATCAGGGTATTCTAATGAATAAAAATAAAAATTCCCTGTAACACCATGTTATTAGGTAAAAAACGTAGGGCTATCGCTAATCTAAAAGTTTTATTTTGAATGCTTCAAGGCACTTGATATATACGCAAATTATATCACAGTAAAGGTGTTATATTTTTTAAAATGATAAAGAGGATACAGAACTTCCAAATCACGAAAGGGGGAAAAAGGACAAAATCCTGAATCATTCAAATAAGACAAACAAAAGAGAAAAAGAGGTAAAAGAAAGCACAAAATAAGATGGTATAAAATAAGTCCAAATATGCTAAGTATCAAAGCAAACAAAAATGAATTTAACTCATTTATTAAAACTGACAAACTCAGATTGTTTGGAAGGAGGAGAAAAAAAAGAAGGAAGGTGGAAGGAAAGAGGGAGAAAAGAAATGAGGAATCAAAAAAAAGAAAGTCTGTTATTTATCAATAAAGACACTTAAAATTAAACCATGCCAAAATTTTGAAAGGGAAGATATAAACGAAAATAAAACACCAACTAAGGAAAAATCCTCAAGCAACCCAGGAGGTATGGGAAATGAAGAGGACATTCCAAGGACTGAAACTTTCAATGCATAGGCTGTTAAAAAAAGATTCTCCTAAATGCCAAAATTATAGTAAAATGTAAAATCAATAAATTTTTTTTAAAAAATGTAAAAAAAAGAAAATGAAGATATGGAAAAAGATATGTGAGGCAGATATTTACCAAAAGAAATTAGGTGCATCACAGGCATAAAAAAGACTTCAAAGCAAAAAGCTTTAAAAAACAGATATATATTCCATATACTTAAAATGTACACCCATTAAAAAGTCATAGCATTCATGAATCTTTATGCACTTAGTTTCAAAATACAGAAAGGTAAATCTGACAAGAAATATAAGGATAAATTGCCCAAGTTCCTAAATACTACAGAGGACTTCAATGTACCTCTTTTGGATATCTATAGATGAATTAGGCAAAATCAGTAAGGACACAGAAGATTTAAGTTTCTAAGAATCATCAGTCTTATTCTAATATATGTAGAGAACTTGGTGCTGAATAAAAAAATGATTCTTTTCAAACATGGAAAAGTAGATACAAAGTCACAAAGGACATATCAATAAATTTTTGAAATGTGAAATCATACAGATCACATTCACTGAGACTGGATATTAACAGAAGGGTCACCTATACTAAGACAAAATAAAATTTATCTAAATAGAAATCAAATTAAAATATTTCCATAAAATTTCTAGGTTCGAGAGGAAAACAAAATGGAAAAAAAATTACTTAGAAACATTTTGGATATTCTGAGTCCTCTGCTTTTCTAAATGAATTTCAGAATCAGCTTGTCAATTTCTACAAAATGTCAAAAGCAGCATTATTTAAACAGCAGAACAAATACAAACAAGAAGACTAGAAATAACCAAAATGTTTCATATATATTCATATAATAGATTATAATAAACAATAAAAATAACTTCCACCATGGATTAGTAAAAAAAGCAAATGCAGAAAATTTTACACAATATCAGGCCATTTTAAAAAAACTCAAAGAAAAACTAAGTAAGATGTTGTTTAGGAATATATATGCTTGGTGAATACATATATATGTATGTAGTAAAGCCATTTTTTAAAAAAAATGAAAGATAATTACAAACTTTAGTACAATTATTAACTCTGTGGGGGTGGGCAAAGGATTGAGAAGGAGAATCCAGACAGCTTTAACAGTAATATTTAGTTCTTAAGGTGATAGTTTTGATGTTTTCATTTTATTCTTATACTTCATAATTCATATGTGTATTACATATGATCTTATATAAGTATGAAATATTACATAATCGTTGTGAAAAATTCAGTGAGAGTATTTCTTGTGAATATTTTTAGTAATACCAGGGCAATGGGGATAGAGGAATGAAGATGAGAAAATAACAACAATAACAAAAATATCAAGACCCCACAATGTGCCAGAAACATCAGAGATCTAAAAATAAAGCAGAAAATGTCATAGAAGATGTCCCTGTCTTCTTGGCACATATAGTGAAAGAATATTACATTTCTAAAGATGCAGAATAAATATAGACTGAAACTCCAAAATTTATATGTATAGTCCAGATTGCTCCTCTAAGCACTATATCCATATATCCAATGGTCTAGTCAAATTCACCAATTAGATATCTCAAAAGCACCTGAAATTTTATACAAGACCAAAAAAAATATTCCAGTGTTTGTTATCTCAATAAAAGGTACCATCTTTTAGTGAGTTGCCTTTGCATAAACATTGAGTCACCTTAATAATTCCCTCTCCCTGTAATTGATCACATTCAATCTATTACCAAGCCCTGTTAATTTTTGTCTTCTTATAAAAACATCTCCATATCCAAAGTCACCACCCTAGTCCTAGCTATCATTATCTCTTGAAGGACTACTCCAATAGTCTCCTAATTGTATTTTCTGGTTCTTATCTATTACTCTTAGGTCTTTACATTTTAGCTGGAGCAATATTTTCAAGATATAAATTTTAACAAATCATCCACTCACATTTCCACTTTAAAAATTCAATAGGGTGTGCATCATCATACCTTCCTTGACCCATATAGAAACACTGATTCAAAAACAAAAAGAAACCAATTACTTTTATAAAAAATTCAGAAAACAGTTCAGAGGTTCCTGCTTCCTCAATGACTGAGAAACCAGCTACATCAAAGATGGAAGGAAAATTCATGGCACCACTTGCCTTAGTCCCTCCCCCCAGCTCAGCATGGTAAAACTGGGAGAAAATTTAACTCTTAGA